GCCCACAGGCTACTTCTTTGTTTTATCATCAAACACATAAAATATATTTTTACAACAGTTACATAAAAAAATCGAATCCTGTATTTTCATTATTTAACAACAGAACCTGCGAAGAACAGACGGCATACATTTTATTAAATATCAAAACATTACACCACAGATAACCTGTTTTGGTAAATCTGCATAATTTAAGAAAACCAGCAGGTTCATGAATGTGCAAAGTACAAAAAACACTGGTCTGTAGGCATTTAGGCAGGAAAATCTACAAAATAAAAGTTTTTAAAAATGGCTGTAGAGAAATATTTATAGTTTTCATAGTTTAGTCTGTTTCAGAATCATAAAAAATAAAATGAATGTTTTATCTCCAAGTTTGGCTAATTTATGTTCTGAAATTTCAAAATAAAAGTTTGGCTTTGGTATTTAAAACTAAGGAGAATTTTTATCTCAAGATAAAATGATTTTTTACATTTTAAAAAAGTAGTGGTCTGTGTTTTTAGTGCAAACGATGAGCAGAAGTAACATCTTGAAAATCCACATTTGACACATTTTACTAATTTCCACCTGTTTAAAGTCCTTTGGATGTTCAATAAAAGTAAAGTTTGTTTTTGTTGCTTTTCCATCAGCAGATCGTTCAGCTCAAACACCAGAACCTCTCCGTCAGGTTCTAGAGGAGGAGCGGCGTGTGTTCTCCCACCGGCTCCCTCCGCCTGGTRAGCTGCCGCACTCGCTCCAGCAGGCGGCTGGGCAGTGAGGGGAAGTGATGGCTCGGGTCCAGGACGTTGGTCTTGCGGCGCTCGCGCTCCTGCAGCCACATGAGGTACGGGCTGGGTGGGAAGAACGGCCGCGAGCGCTCGCGGTACAGCTGCAGGACCATGCCACCCACACCCAGCACCGCCCACACCGTAATCAGGGCATAGTCTGCCTCAGGGACAAAAGCGAAGAGGGCGGGGTTAGCAAAAGAAAATAATCAAAATTAGCCGATGATGATGATGATGGGGAAACTCACCGATGGTTTGGAAGGGCACGTCGGTGAACATGGCGCTGAAGTTGCCGTTGAGAAGGCGCTTGAGGATGTTCAGTGTGATGTAGGAGAGGCTCGTGTAGATGTAGGCGTTGACCGCCAGAATGACGGCATACGCACCGACGATGCCACACGTAGTGATGTTTCCCTGAAACAAAGAGAAAAACATTACAAACTAATCACTGACTCTACTGGAAAAATAATTATATTTTCCTTTGTTTAATTCTTAAAATGATTTTAAAGTCATGAAAAGTATCTACTCATATTTTATATGGAAAGTTAAAGTTTTATGATTGGGACTCTAGTCTGTCCGGTTTATAGCTGTTTAAAGCTGACCCTAGTGGCCATCAGCAGTATTACAACTCTGCCTTTATTCACATTAAACCAGATAAATGCATTCATCTTTATTGTAGGCCCAAACAAACAATCAGGCTTGTGTTATGTCGGTGTTTTAGAGCTGATAGTCGCTTTAACAACACCAACGAAACAAAACAAAAAAAATTAATGGTAAAAAATAAAATGTAACATTTTCTTGCTGTTACATCTTCAGGGAACTTAGTGGAACATCTGCTGGAAGTAGTACCAAGATCCAGCTGTTTTTAGAAGTGTAAAAACATTTTTCTAATAATAACGCCACATTAAAAGCGATCTCCACTTCCTGTTGAGGGTTGAAGTCAAGACTCTGTTACCTCTCTGGGCCACCGCACGAAGAAGAGCGGCACAACGATGGTGATGCAGCAGAACGTCACCCAGAAAACCGCATCAGAGTTCCTGAACACATTGAGGTCACCTAAAATTAAAATAATAAATAAAAATACAGATGATAATGTGTTGAGGATAAAAGTTTTGTCAAAAAAGGTTGCGCTTTTCTCTATCGGTACCCAGCGGAGTGAAGAAGACGATGGAGGCGATGAGAAAGCCGAGCATCAGGCCGACCACCACCACGCAGGCCATGACTGAACCGAAACGCCACCAGCTCATCACCAGCAGGACTCCACCCACCACGCCCACCACCCCTGACAGGGTCAGACGGACTGCAGAGACACGGGACAGGGTTTCTGATCAGGGTCCAGTTTTATGGCATATGTTTGTGAATAGATCAAACCTTACTGTCGTAGTCCAGTTCTGTGGTTCTGGTGATGAGGACGAAGAAGAAAAATGACAAAAAGCTGAACCCCATGCAGAACAGTTCTGAAGAGGAGAGATGAGAAGTCACCATTACAATCTGTTTTTGTTTGTTTTTATTTACAATGCCAATGTCCACCACATCAGATATGTCATGGCAGGCGTTCCACAAGGCTCTACTTTAGTTACACTAATTTTTCACTTTTTTTCGAACTGTTTACGAGTGTTGTAGAAAACGTCATGCTAAATATGTGCAGATGTTTACACATTGTTAAATTGTCAGGTTTTTCTGATGTAAGAAAATAAAACCACAAAAAAAGAAAATCCAAAAGTTTTATTTTTCTTGTTGATTTGGATGTTTGCTTGGGGTCACTTTCATTTTAAATAAGGAAATGCGTAAGTACATCCTCCGCTTTCTGGCAGACATCTGAAAGTTTTAGGCCAGAATTAGTKATGGGAAGTTAGTAAAATTATTGTGAAACATAATTTATCGACTTCAAATTTTACCACCTTCCTTACCAAGTTACGACTAAAATTAATATTCATATTCMAAAACGGACAGGTTAGGGCAGTTTTAACTGAGCCAAATTTTTACACAACCTTCTACATATACAGCATTAAAATCTTGTGTGGTTAACAAATTCCTGTCTTGAGTTTTCACTAAAATAAATATATTTAAAAACATTGGCAATTCCGGCAATTATGGCTTCTTCAGACCCAACCCAAAATAGTCAATCTAAGCAATCACGTCTTTAACAAACTCCGCCCACACAAAATGGAAACATTTTTGAAGAGATGTCTGGTTCTCATTTAGCTTGCTTTCCCCTCTGAACTGCATCAAAACAGTTAGTTTGAMATTTTGGGGGATGTCCGCCTCTTTAAAAAGGAGAGAAACTACCGGTACTTGCCACATTTGAAGAACCGATGCCCAAAGAAGCATACGAACAAGCCTGCCAAGCCAGTGATGGTAAAAAAGATCTTGGTGGAGATCTTTCCTGAAATGAATTAATTACGGCAGTTATTACTGAGTGTGTAGATGTTTTATTATTTTATTTTTTTTGCAGTGGGTTTACCGAGTGTCTGGCAGCTGTCCAGAGTGGAGGTGAAGCTGCAGGCGTAGGTGTGGGTGGGAACGTAAGAGGCTGAGGTGTTCAACAGGGGGTCTCTGACGACGACAGAGTAGACCACCCCCTGACCGGGGATGGAGGTGAACACCACGGTGGTCTTCTCTGTTGACTTCAGCGTCATGACCTGAATGGGACACGGTGAGGAAATGTCATTTAGCCATGWGGAGGAAATGTTTGCAGAAAGACGGTAGGGGATGGTCCCACTGACGGACAGCAGGAATGTGACTGCACATACCAACAAATTAGCAAAACTCCACAGAACAGACTGCAGTTCTACCACTGAAGAGGAGCCTGTCTGACTCTGGATGTCACAATGAACAGATTGTGGAACTGCACAAACTAAAAGTTCAGTGTTCAAATTTATTTGAAATTACAGCTCAAAAAAAGAAAACTTGAAAACAAGGCTTCTTGGCAATAAATCTTCTATCAGTGGAAAGTCTGTTAATTTCCCATTTAAATGGAGCCACATTTGTAAGGAACATACATTTGCAGATGAGCAGTAGAGCCGAGTATGTGGGTTGCGCACATGAAAGATTTGCCAAATCTTCTCTGCCAAACAGCTTATGTTGCCGTAATTGACACCCAGGTGCTGCCAATCGTGCCCGATATAAGATATGAGCAGGGATTATATTAAAAAATGCACAAATTTTATTTTGTTTTATTTGCAACCCGACAATGAAGGACATCAAGCTCGAAGGAAAAGTACRGAACACTGTACCGGACCATCCAGCAGTATGACGTTAATGCTGAGAGAGGACGCTWAGCTAATGGTAGCTAATGTTAGCTTGTTGGTGTTTGGTAGCTCGCTACAGTTGCTGTGATTTATTTGATTTGATTTATTGATTAGGATCCCCATTAGTTTCCACCAAGATGGTTACTAATCTTCCTGAGGTCCAACTGATAACACACAATATTTATACAACACATAAAATCGTGACATAAAATACACACAAGATTAGTCAAATTTCACATTTTACAAAATTACAAACACAAGCCTAGTTAAAAACAAAACAAATAATAATAACAATAATAATGACAAAATAAGATTTAATACAAATAAGATTCCAGCGTCTTTTAAAAGAAAATGTGCTTCTTAAATATCTAATCCTGAAYAGCTCTATAGACTACTGATGTTTGTAACARGTTTGTCTTAGCACGATTTACAATTCATTTGGTTTCACAAGAGTATCTAGTATCATAATTATGTRTCTGATCAGAGTAAATAAGCTTTTCATACACTGATCCAGGTCTCCCGGTTAGTATAACTTTGTTTATAAATCTAAGTAAATTGTACTGCACCCTAAYMTTCAATAATGGCCACAGTAAAATACTGTGCATATCTGATGAAATGGACATCKGTTGTGTAAACTCATGTTAAAAAAATGTTACARGCTGTGTCTCAATTCATGAGTTGCAACTGACCTCGGCTGCTTATGTCACTGCCCCCACGCTGTAGGCTGTCCCGATTCGTAGGCACCTACTCATGTGGCCGACAAAAGCCCCAAAACATGGGCTGCATTTGAATATCCTACGTGGCATAYGGCGGAGTTTGGAAATTTATCAAAGACTGAAGAATTTGATTTTAAATTTATGTTTAGCAACTTATGAAATTCATGCTGCAATGAGATCTTTAATAAAATGCAGTTACAAGTACTGAAACTGGTGCTAAACCCAAATTATGGATGCCAAGGCGAGTGAACCAATCAATGAGCAGGAGTAGCAGCTCGACCTGATTTGACGTCTCAGGTCTCGGGGGTGCCAGTAATCAGGCTAGTATCGGGCAATAAGGGCTAATGCAAAAAAGRCCATCTGAAGCTGCGTTTCCATTGCAAWTGTGCACAAAAGTCTTTTCGAAATTGACGTGTTTCCACTGAGCAAATTTATTTTCAAAATTTTAATTTGCGCATTTTCATGGTCCATGGAAACGCAGCCAGTGAKGTTCAAACTGGAGAGGAAAAGGGAGTGAGGAGGAGGAATTTGGTGTGGCTGTTAGTGCCAGACTGACTGGTCYGAGTAGTTCAGAAACTGKTTTTTACATTACTTGCATTTTGTAAACAATAGATAGTTACCTTAAAGTATTCACATAATCATAGATGACAAAATAAAAAAGCAGTTTAAACAAAAGCTATTTGTACATTTGCTTCAGTCTACATGTGCTACTATTTGTTCATACACTGATTAATATTTGAGAATTTAACTGCGATTCAGACATGAATCTCATGATAATCCATATGTCTGTAAATAATCTATTTTCTGTTGTCTAGAGCCCAAACTGGCCCGCCCACATGGTTCTGAATCATCCAGCTTGTGGACCTAAACGAGGAACTAAAGGTCTAACCAGGAGCCTGGTTTTACCCGTCTGCCGTTTGCCGCCACGCCCTCTGTGTTGGCCATGGCCTTAAAGCCAGCGAACAGGCTGCTCTCTGACAGGTCGCTCTCAGGCAGGAAGTACTGGTAGACGTCATACTGCAGCCGCCAGCGGGTGCTGCTTCCTGTCGATTCGTCACAAACCGGAGGAGGCTGGCCTCTGGTAGAGAGCAGAGGAGAAAACTGATTATTAACTGAAACTCAGAAACTTTGAGGTTTAAAACTGAGAACCCAGAGAAGATCAGATGTGTKAAATGACAGAAACTAAAAAAGGACTCCAGGATATGTGCAGGCAGGATAACAGTACACAACCCTGCTAATAAACTGAAAACAAACAACTTGACTAATGACAACTTCACTACAACATAAAAACAAAAAACTTCTCTATTTAATGAACAAATCTGAACATTTCAAATCATGTTCATGAAAACAAATCTATTATTTCCTTTAAGTATCCAAAAACTGAGTCTGAGACTGAGGCCTACGTTTGTTCAAAAACCCTCCTGTGTCGATTAATGTAAAACTATGTTTCAAAAACACTACATAAAAGARCACGTCTTTAAAATTACAGTCATAATAATTACTAATCTGAAAGATAAAACAAGAAAATAATTTTGTTTCTGTTTGACGTGAAGAAAATTTTTTACATGTGAGTCAAATATTTTTATTTACCTCAATCAGTAGAGAGAGAAGTAAAATTTAAAAAATGTTACTGAATGACGTGTTTTACTTTTGATTGGATAAATATGGGATAAAAAGTGAGTTTATAATGGATTTCAATATGTTTCRTGTTTTACCCTAAAGGAACACTAGAGGGCAGTAAAGCTACGAGAGCATTTAAAGCTATTCTGACAAAATAAAAGCATTAAAAATGTTTTTAAGGTTTTAWTGACTGCACCAAAATAGAAAAATAAAACCTCACAATATTTTTAATTCCCGGTTTATTCCCATAAATTCCTGATCTTTCCCATGAGAAGTTTCCAGCATTTTACAGCTCAAAAACCTTCTGTATGATAGTGCACACTGGGCCACGATGGGTCAACTCATGTWAGGCTACATTTTTAATCCAGCCCGACGTGTTGAAACAAGAGTTTAAACATGTGATGAAGTGAAGAACTCCACTGGTGACTCATTTATCTGTGAAATAAACAGCAGCGTGTCTGCAATTTTACATGTGGATGTGAGAGTTCGCCTTTTRGTTCGGACTGGAAGAATTTCTAATCGAATTTCTGAATTTGAAGAGAAATTTTAATCAACAAAGAAATTAGTGTTCCTGAAAGCAAAATCTGCTGTTTTATATGTGAGACTCTCAGAGGTGATGAGTGGGAAAAACCTCTGCTTYGTGTCAGGTGTGTTTGCAGAGCAGAGTGGGAGAAGGTGAGGCAGTGAAAAAGCTGCAGGTAGTTTCAGTTTTAAAGAGTAACTTACCCCAAAATTAACTTTTTTTAGCTGATAAACTGTCTAGAAT